TATCTGAAGTTTTTGCCTCTAATTCTGCTTATAAAACTCAGAAAATATGTGATTTCTGAAGTTTTTGCCTCTAATTCTGATTTAAAAACTCAGAAAATACCAGATATCTGAAGTTTTTGCCTCTAATTCTGCCTTAAAAACTCAGAAAATAACAGAAATCTGCTTTAAAAACTCAGAAAATACCTAATAACCGAAGGCTCTTCCTCTATTTTGATTTATGGAGCATCTTTTCTGCTCCCTCTGAGACGGGAAACTCCTCATTTTGGAGATTTTAAGAAGGATAATAATCCATTTTGAGTGATAAATAACCAGTAAACTCCTCATATGTGAGTTTAATACAGACGGTTTGGACCAAAATTAACCAGAAACAAATAAAAAAAGGGAAAACTCGAGTTTAAAATGCAGAAAATGTTGTAAAAATGGAGCAAAACCAGAAAATAATCTGTTTTTTTCCCTTCTGAGCTCTTTCAGGTGAAGAGTTTTAGCTTTAACTTCTACAGGAGGTTTATTTCAGGGGCTTTATTCCCTTTTTCTTCCCTCTCTGGCTTTTCTGGAACCTGACACCTTATTTCTCTCTCTGAGGAGGACAGAGGCTTTTTGTCCCGAAGACAAAAGGCTCCTCCAGGGTTAGGGTTTAGGTTTAGGGGGAAAGTTTCAGTTTCTGACCACTAAAGTTTGGACTAATCTACAAAAAATTTAAGGGATTGCTGTTTTATTTGAGTTCTTTTTGTTTTTAACTTAATTTTGAGTTGTTTATTTAGCAATTTAAGGGCTGAAACTAATGATAAACACAAAATACCAAAGTAAAAATAAATTAAATTAATATTGAATAAATCAAATATGAATAATAATTAACGACTAATTTCCCCAAAATTTAAGGGATTTCTGTTTAATTTGAGTTATTTTTGTTTTTAACTTAATTCTGAGGTTTTTTTTTGTTTTTAATTTTGCAACTCAAGGGCTAAAACCAATAATAAATACAAAAGTAAACATGAAATAAATAAAATAAATATTTAATAAATAGAATAAAATTTAATAAATAAAATATAGTGCAATAAAACAACTAACGACTAAATAACTACTGAACAACTAAAATAAAATGTGATAAATAAAGTGCAATAATAATTGTTTTTAACTCAATTTCGAGTTTTTTATTTTGCAACTTAAGGGCCAAAACATAAAATGTCGCCTGGGTGTCAAAAATACACATAAACAAATAAAAAAAATACATAAATAAATATATAAAAAGCCAGTGGCCTCCTCCTTTGTTCCAGACGATGCAAATGAGCTGCTGCTGTTCTGATATTTAAATATTTAAATATATAAATATTTAAATCCTCCAAACAGGAAACAGATCTGAGCCCCTAACAGCAGGAAGTACAGAAACAGACTAAACACACACATTTACCAACATACGAAGGGAAATTCCATCAAATATTTGTAACGAGTAAATTTACAACATACAACGTTGACGTCATGGAAACAAAAAAAATATATATATAAATTAAATAGGAATAATTAAGCTAAATCAGTTTAAAGTTAACATAATGTTAGATAAAAAAATATGTATATATAGAAAAAGAAATTAAATAAAAATTAGATAAGATAAGTTTGTTTAAAGTTAACGTAATGTTGGATTAAGAAAAATAAAAAATAAAAAATAAAAAAAAATATATATATATTTT